CACACTGCGGGTTTTATGAACAAAATTGTAACCTGGAATATCGAGGCAGGAATCTGAGATACGGTCATTTAGCCATGTTTCCGTTATACAGGCAAGGTCAGGACTCTTTTCTGTGACAAAACAACTCACTTCATCAATTTTGGGAGCTAATGACATCGTATTTGTCAATAGTAGGTTCGGAACGTAGAAATAGTCATTAGCATTGGAAATAACAGTTTTATTAATGTTAATTTGAATAATATTATTTAAATTACGTTGTCCACGATGAATTGAAGTAGGGCGACCTGGTAGGGAAAAATCATGTTCTAGTAATAATACTGGAAAAACCTCATATTGGCTTTCCATTTGTCCTTGCGAAAACCCTCCTCAGTCTGGTTGATTCTAGCGCCATGTTTATTTCGTCGCCACGTCGATTTCTTTGATGGTGTTCTATGGGTAACGCGAGTCGGGATGGCATAACAGTTAGTTATGTCCGAAATTTCCGTATGTTTTGGGAATTGACTTACTTGACCAGCATGTTTTTGAGGCTCCTGCTTATCAACTTGTTTTGGTGGTATTCGAGGGTTAGGTGGTAATTCTTGAGATGTAATATATTTATTACTACAGGTATTCTCTTGAGTCGGAGGCGCGTGTTGATTTCTAATGCAATTAGTGCTGAGTGTCTCCAAAATAATGCAGGAATGATCATGACAAAGCCCATTGTCAGTTTCTTTACCCTTTTGTTCTAACTCGTGTAGGTTTAGTACCTGTTCGAGTTGTAAGATTTTTGTTTCGGCAACCGTTAGCTCAGATTCAAGTTGCTTGCATAGTGTCGGAAACGTCATATCCAGGTACGTAACTGTTGGGAGGTGCATGGGGGGGGGTGTCCCCCAAATGAAAAATATCAAAATATGAAATAAAAAAGAGTTCGGGCAAATTTTGCATATATATAGTGTCGGGCGAAGCAATTGAAGGGAAATAACGTAAAAAATGAGTGATAATGATTAAGAAATACGAATTATGGGAAATTGGGTATATTCAAACTTGAGGATAGCCAATACCTATCTTTAAAGAGTCTGTTGTGGCAACATATTTGAAAAACCTTGGCATTATATATCATGCAGGAGAAAGCTAATGGAATTAAGATTCTAAAAAATATATTGCGTTGAAATTGGCAACCAGAAACATGTAGATGCTATTCGCTTCTTGACGGTCATCACTTCATGATCACAAACATTCAGAGGACGGCACAATAAAAATCCATACAAAACCAACAGAGTTCAGCGATATTATATCGAAAACACAGAAAAATTCAAGCGCATGTGCAATGAAATATAATAAAATACGTCCGAAAAAGACAGCATTTTCATGCAGCGAGGGCATTCTATGGCATTGGCTGCGGCCAGTGTAATAAATGTTGTTATATAGTTAATAGTGTCAAAGTACGATTCATTTTTCTGTTTGGCGATTGGTGGTCAAAACCATATCACCTGCCAGTCCACAATTAATAAAAAATATGGAAATTCGTCGGTCTTTTCATCATACTTCAGTGTTTCATCGGCTAAAATTTACCGTTTTGTTGTTTAGGGTATAGATCATTAGGAATTAATATAGTCGATCCCACATTTGGATAACCATAGGTTAAATATATCAGCCAACCAGAGACGAATTCTATATATTAAAATAGAAAACATTTTCGCAATACTCCAACTGCAAAATTTTTAATTAACCAGGGGGGGAATAGGTTTTCGGATCGTCGGATTTCACAGAAAAAATTGTTCGGATTTCGGATCTGACGAATACTTTACATGGATTTGCGGATCGTATTAATACAGCGGATTGCGGATTTATCTAATATTTTGCCTCGGATTCTGGATTTAGCTTGCAATTTAGTTCGGATCCTGGATTGTAACTTCATAGTAGAGCTTTTAGCGGATTCAAATTTAGACAAGACCATTGTCGGATCGCGGATTTTGCTTCAAATTTGGCGGATCGGCGTGTCGGTATACCCCTATTCACCCCCCCCCCCAACCAATATTATATAAATTTAAGAAGTTTGAACCATTCAAGGTATAAAGGTAAGGTAAAAAGACTAAAAATACTTGAAATGTCTACACCTAAATAAATAATTTACAAAATAAGCAAATTTTTAGTTGGAATTTTTGTTTTAATAAAATAAATAATATCCATTAATAAACCTATAATTTATGGCATACTTACATAATTATTACTCGATATCGAATCCTGAGCCTGCATATACAGTGGCTTCTATCCTTTATTTTAGAGTTTGGATTTTTTGGCTTATTCTGAACATGCATTTGGCTTATTTTGGCCCAGAGGAGTGAGAGGGCACACTTAATTTATACGGCAAAGAACCGTGACGTATTTATACGTTATGGAAATTGATGACATATTTATACGGCAAAGAACACTGACGTATTTATATGTTATGGAAATTTATGACATATTTATACGGCAAAGAACACTGACGTATTTATACGTTATGGAAATTGATGACATATTTATACGGCATATTGTAAACACTGGACTGGACTATGGACTTTGGACTTTGGACTTTGGACTATGGACTTTGGACTTTGGACTTTGGACTTTGGACTATGGACTTTGGACTTTCGATTTTGAAATTATATTTTTAAAATATTCGTATAATTATATTAATTAAAATCTAAACAGAGAACGAAAATTTGTGCATGATACAATATTCAAGGTAAAAAATACTGTCAGTTATATAGGTATACCAGTGCAATTTCATAGATATAGCCTGTGGGATAACAGGATCATCTCAGTAATATTTTTAAGTTAATATTTAAATTTTATTATAATATTTGTATTTATAGTATGTATAGTACAGTTTATACTGCAGAACTTCTTCTTATCGTATATATAATAGATTTATAGAAACAATTGCGACAAAAGTAGCTTGGCAAATACAAAATATTGAGAAACTATCACGTATAAGTATAAACTACACGCGATTATTATTGCGCCTTTGGCTTTGAACAATTATTCGCCGAAGGCGAGGCCGTGATTATCCGCCGGGAATTTGTAGTCTCCCTCGCAGGCGCCAGTTGTGTACGTTCTCTCTGATGTCTGCGAAGGAGGCTAGGGCAAATTTGACCAATCAACTTGACAACTTGTAGGATTTGTTGTACTATTTATTCACTTGCGCAAAAATACTATTGACGGTATATTGTTCATCTTTGCATAATAGTTTACACCGGTTTAGCGCCTGCCTAAATAGGCTGTGTTTACAATGTATTTTGTCTGTGTCAGTTTTAGCTTTTCATAAATGTATTCAGCCATAGTGAACACGAAAACTCTCATAGTCCGCATCATACTTTATAAAATACGAATGTATGATACATTATTATATAATTGGTAGTACTGATTACTTATGATAATCTATAGTAATTAGTATTACTTTATGTATATATTTATGTCTATATTATTGTCTATATATGGCTCGTTTGCGTACGTTATGCGGCTGAGCATTAATCTTTATACTACGATTGCGATTCCCGCCTGGTTCATCACTTGCAAGTGGTAGTATTACAGTAAACGTGGCAAATAGTTGCTAGACTACCTGAAGCACATAGACATAGATTTTTGCCTTCTCACACACAACTGAGTAGGTCTTAAAAAGTGTGTAAATTTCCGTTAGTCGAATATTCCTGTCCATCTACTAACACTTATTAATAATAACTGAAGCACTTAGTCTTATAGTGATATGGATAGCTAACTAGAATGTCTTTCAAAAATAAGTAACATTAACAAAACGTTACTGTGTAACGGAGTAAACAATTACACAATACTGCAGTACTAGTATAAACTATTATGCAAAGATGAACAGTCACAATACTCAATACTCAATAGGCGCGATAATAATCACTTTTGTATTTGCCGAGACACTTTTGTCACAATTGTTTCTGACAATTAATCTATTAGTATATGATAAAGAAGAAGTTCTGCAGTATATACTGTACTATATGCATACTATAAATACAAATATTATATAAAATGTAAATATTAAATCCCAAAATATTGGATAATCCTGCTATCCTACAGGCTATATCCGTATGAAATTGCACTGCTGGTATACCTATATAACTGATACTAGAGATTTTTTACCTTGTATATTATTATATCATGCATGTGCATGCAGTGTAGCACGCTTTTCAGAAGCAAAATTTCGTTCTCTGTTTAGATTTTAATATAATTATACGAAAATCTAAAAAAATAATATAATTTCAAAATCGAAAGTCCAAAGTCCATAGTCCAAAGTCCAAAGTCCAAAGTCCAAAGTCCAGTCCAAAGTCCAGTCCAGTGTTTACAATATGCCCTGTTTACTTAATAGCTCTACGCCTAGGCCGATGTAGTCTACAAGATTCGCACGCCACCCAGTTTTTCAGTTTCAGAATACGCCGAATACTTGAAAATTGCGACTATACGATAAAATAAAACAAAGATTGTGAAGGGGATAAAATTTGTAGGCAAGCATTGCCCTGAACGGCAAGTGTTGGTGTCCGGCGAAACAAGCGAACCGTATATTCTTGTACAGCGTAAACAGGTTACGCGAGGTTTTATATTTGTGTTTATTTAATATATTGAACGAAGTCAGATCTATAAGAGCATATTTAAACTAAATATTAATTATAGCAATAGCCATATTGTTCAAGACGAGAGAAAGGAAATTTCGTGTGAATCACCACTTGCATGGAGACGCCTAGATGCAGCTTGAATGCAGAGCTTTGCCTGTAGTTGAAAATCTCCAGAAATATCGGTATATCTTAGAAAACATAGACGGGATCTTCATAGATTTTAGCTGATTCGTGTCAAACTTCGCTCTACACATAAATAAATTAATATCGATTGAGAAGTCTTTTGGCTATTTATTTGTTTCGAAGACTTGTATATTTCATTAAAGAATATCTCGCCACTCCTTGACGAGTAGCTGTCAAATACTGCCATTTTTTGACGTCACGTGACCGGCCCGGACCAGGGCTTCCTCGTGTCTCGCCTCGTCCTCACACTGAAGCCCTGGGAACGAGGTTGCCTTTGACCTTGAGCAAGGTGTTTGGTATTCAAATTGCACTTTTCCTACCTACTTTTGATGTATTGAAATAAGTCACCATCCTTGTTAACAGAACTTAAATGTTGTAGAGAAGATCTTGTAGTTCAACAAGAAGATTATTATTGCTGCTTGAACAACTTTTCGTTTACAGTTAACTATATAAATCTATCCCTAGAAAATAATGACGTTTTTTGCTGAATTGTGCACCGTGACTTATTTCAATACATCGAAATCATTCCGCCTCATCTCGTCCTGACAAAGCGGGATCATAAAAACAGCCCCTTATTCAGCAAATTGCGCTTGCTGCCTTTGATCCCTTGGGGGTGAGGCAGCACTTTCCTTGCGATAGTAACTTCTAGTAATAAAGTTTATTTCGACACCCTGTACTTTTAAATATAGCCTACTCAATGTAATGCTTGTTTGTGTATTTTCACATGGTTTTTGTGTTCTACAAAATTGTAATTACATTGTTTACTCTGTTTGCTTCAATAGTACATATTTGTTCAACAAGAAAGCCTGAGAATATAATTTGTAATACAATAATAATGTAAACCGCTTCGGCAAATCGGCAATGTAAACAATGACGTCACCGGTGGATTTTTCCACCGGTGATATTTGGCGCGCTGCAAGTGACAAAAGTCCTTTCCACAGAGGAAGCGAAGCGCGCCATAGAAGGGTCTGGAAAGGACTTTGGAAAGTCTAGCTGCCGTAGCGAGCGAGCGTGAAGCGAGCGAGCGAGGCAGCAGTCCTAAT